AGAAAATATATTCAAAAAAATAAATAGACTCCAACGTGGTCATCTCAGTGACATCTTATATCAATAAACTTGTATTTATTATGCATATTATGTATTTATCTAATTGTATAATTGTTTACTGCTCCGTAATAGGTATAGGTAATAAATTGATGAATATTACAATAATAATAACTGTTTATTTATTACAATCTATAATATACTTACGTCCGGTGCATGGATCCCGATTGACCGGCAATATCCTTCTGATTCGACATGATCGGTGGGCAATGGTAAATATTGCTATTATTCGGGCTCCTTGGGTGAGCTTACGTAGACTCGGCGAACCCACCAAACCACTGGCGAACGACGACGACGACTGATCGAAGATGGTACGTACAACGGTAGAGAATAGAGATATGATGCGCTGGCGAAAAACGAAAATAGACTCAAACGGCAACGAAACTCGCCAGCGAAATCTACGACAGCGGATAATGGCATAAATAGCGGCAAATCGAAGGCCGACGACCGTTCGCGTTCCGTCCGCGCGCCGCCCGATTGGTCGGTGTCGTCGTCTGATTGTACTATCTTAAACCACCGTGCCGACAGAATATACCTAATAAAATATTTTTAATACTATTAAWACTTTAGAAATTTTAATTTGTCATCGGTCCGCCGCAAACACGAACAGACATAATAATTATGAAAATAATAATAATAATAATGGCGACTCTCATACAAATATTTCATCGATTCCTCCAGACCTTTTTACAGTTTTACACTAGGGCAGGGTTTTCAAACTTTTTTTCGCGTACCACTTCAGTATTATTGTATTATAATATCAATTATTGTATTATTGATATTATTATTATCAATCAGTCACGTACCGCTAATGATTAAAAATAGAACCATACCAACCTACCATAGAGTTGAATATACTTATTTTGAATAAAAAAAAACCAGTAAAATACTACGCCAAAATTATTATTTATTTATTAATACGATTTTATTAGTGTTTTTAAACTTACGCGTTTTACGTACCTCCATGATGAAGTCGTTCGCGTACCACCGGTTAGGGAACCGCTGCACTAGGGCGGTATATCGTTTCCGCCAGGGGGAAAATAATCTTTGCAAACAAAACTTATTGTTTTGTTTTATTAAACATATGGCTGCTATATTATAAATAGTATATGCAATATCTGTATAAAAGTTTATTTATGTGATGCGTATATATATATATCATAGGCGAATCTACAAGGTGTGCCAGGGCACACCCTGCGACTAGTGTAAACCCGTGTAGGGCCCATAACACTCATTTTAGTTACAATGGTATTGAGTCTAAACATTAAACAATTTGTACTTTAATTTTAATACATTTTTATGAGTAAAATAAATATTATAGTTGATAGTTGATAAAAGATCAGCAATATTTTCAAGAATAGAGGAAACATGCCTGTTTATTTATAGCACGGCTATAGTCGTAATTTGTAGCCATAATCATAGTTATTTTATGTAATTTAATTTTACCAGTAATTATCATTTTTATGGTTATTGACAAAATGAAAAATACTTTATTTCGTATTAAGTATTAATACATTTAACACAGAAGTATTAAGTATAATATTA